CTGTATAAATCCTAATTGACTAAGGCCTTTAAGAATAGGTCGAGAAAGATTCATTGTTTGGAATGATTCAGCATTGTCGTAATGAATTAGCTCAGACTCATCTGCAAAATATTCTTTCTTCCTCTAATGAAAACATAATAATAAAAAAAATATGAAAATATAGAATTGAAACTTATGCATGCTAAACAAAATTATTATAATACATTATATTAATTTTATAGTATATAACGCTAATTTTGTATAACCATGCCAATATACATTTAAGAGTGCCAAGGAAAATCATATAAACCTGTTTTTCATCTTCGTCCTCACTACTATTTTCACTATTAGAATCATTATCACGATCTTCGTGGTTGTTCCAGTATTCATCTGTACTACTCGACATTTGATCGTCGTCGTCTTCATCGGTTTCGCCTTCATCGTTTTCACTTGATTCGTTTTCGTCATTGTAGATATCGCATTGGGTTCCGGCACCAAAGCTATCAGCATCTAAATAACGATTAGCAAAATTGCAGGAAATTCGATAAGAAATTTTCGATTATAAATAAAAATACCAATATCATCATCATCATCTGCAGACTTAGTATCATCATCATTTTCCGAAGTATTATTTTCATTGTCTTTATCGGATATTTTCAAAGATTGATCATTATTGGTTTCTGGTGAACCATAAGTTTATTAAATTTAATATACAAAAACATAATCAGAGATGAATATAAGAAGTATACTTTTTTTTTTTGAATTATTTCGTCCATTCGTTTTTGTATTTAAAATTAGTGATGATCTCGCTTCGTTGCGCTTGTTTGTAATTATTTCATCGATCGTCCTTGAAGGAATCTTTTTTAATTATTATCACAGTAAATATAAAATCCAAGAGATTCTATCGACTTCAATCAGTTGTCAACATCAAAGTTCAAAAAAATAATCAATCCTCACAGTAAGTTTGGGTTTTAATCCGGCCCTAGCTGCTACAAAATCCCAGCCTTCAACATCATTATAAAAATTATCGTCACCAAAAGAGAACGAGAAATCAGGATTTATATCTTTTTTTTTTAATGAAATATCCTCATTTATTGAAGCTTTTTTTTCCTTTTTTTTTCGTTTCCTTGAATCTTTATTCTCTTTATGCGTTGGGCTATTATCATTTTCCTCATTTTCCTCTTCATTGTATGTTTTAATCTCTGTGTCGTCTTCAATTGTCATTATAAAGTCGTCCATTGCTCCTACCTATAGTGCAATCAATATTAGATTATCTAACGCTAAATGAAGTTCGCACAACATACCAAAGTACAGTCAGGCATATTACCAAAAATGGGGGACGTCTAAAGCCGTGTCCAGTCACGTGTTTTTGATTTTTTATTAAAGTTAAGTTAAAGGTTAGTTTGGGGTTAGGGTCAGGGCATATTTTATAGTAAAATTGTCCTCCCGGCATTTTTTATTAATGCACCGAGATGGGTTTAGACTATCGTTTCTTGTATTTTTTGCGATTTTCACTGTTTTTGTCTCTTCGGGCTGATCCGTGTCGATCAAAATAAACAATTCTATTGGCTCTATGTCACGTGATTGACACGGCTTTAGACGACCCCCAAAAATGGAAATCGATTCTAGATCGTTCCATTGAAATTTGATTGGCTGCTTTTTGCTAAATTCGGTTACATTTTG